AAGTCCGTTCTTTTACAATGCTCTTAACAACGACATGAAAGAAAAGAAAGAAGGAGTTATCAGATTAGAAAACACAAGCAAAGCTGTGATGGAGGAATTGATAGACTATCTCTACACAGGACATGTTAACGTCACGCAACACAACGCGTTCGATCTTCTAGGGATGGCCGATTTTTTTGTCATTCCAAGTCTGAAAGAGACTACAAGTAAGTTTATCGCACGAACATTGTCTTCTTCAAACTGTCTAATGGCATATTATTCAGCTGTCAAATATAATTGCACGGAATTGCATAAAGAAGCGAGAGATTTTATCTGTACACACTTCATGAACGTAGTCGAGCAAGAAGACTTTCTGAATTTAAGCATGAAAGAGGTGGAGACTGGATTTCAAGTGACGATATCAGAGTTACAGGAGAAGAAGACCTTTTCCAGGTTATTCTAAAATGGTGGGAAGGAAAAGAGTGCCGCGATCGTGAAAGGTTTTTCGAATTATTTCGTCATGTTCGTCTGGTTTACATGTCACGCAACTATGTTTTCAATGCAATTTTACCGCATCCTTTGGTAAAAAGTGATGAAACATGCACGGAATTTGTCCTAGTTGCAATGAAAGATGTTTCATCTGGCTTTGAGGGTTGTTATTTTGCCCAAGCACCAAGAAACTGCCTTAAGACGTGGGAAGATTGTGTTGTTGTCACTGGAAGGAAAAACACAATTTGTTACCTTCCTGCAGAAAACAAGTGGTTTGAACTGGCAGACCAAACAAAGAACAGAGAGTTTTATACTATGTGTGCTTCTCATGGTAAACTTTTTATCAACAATGGTGGTCATTCTACAATTGAGAGGTTTGATCCAGCGGTGAACTCTTGGGCACCTGTCACACTATGTAGTGGTCGTCCAATGTCACTCTGTGGTGTAGCTTTAGTCAATTTCCAAGGGTTTTTGTATGTAATTGGGGGGAGAAAAGGAAAAGAGCGTGAAAATGCTGTGTATAGGTACAATCCTGACACAATTCTATGGCAAGAAGTTGCACCTATGAGCACTTCCAGATCTGCACTGTGTGCTGTAGCTGACAAGGAAACTCTGTATGCAATTGGAGGTCGGACAAAGGATCAATTACTGGATGTGGTAGAAAGATATGATCCCAAAACAAACTTGTGGTGCAGAGTAGCTTCAACTCTTGAAAAGAAAAGAAACTCTCATTCTGTTATTTTAAGGGCTAAAGTGTTTTTGTTTGGAGGATTTACTAGCCTTGAATTCCCAGGTACTTCTTCAAACAACATTGAAATGTATGACCCAAAATCAAACGTCTGGACGGCCATTCAGTGTACATCTGCCCCATCACGCTATTGTAGTGCCACAAGTTTTAAAGGAGCTGTTTTTGTCACTGGTTTGTGGGACCTAGAACATCCTCATGATTTTTTCTGGAGTGTTTATGATGTTGATAAGAATGAGTGGAAGCCTTGGGCAAAAATACCTCTTTTCAGTTTCAACGCACGTGCTATGGCTCCTCTCAGAATTCCAAGAGGAATTTTAAATGCTTGTAAAGTTTTGTCTTAAAAGTAAGTTGTAATTGAAGGATCACCCCTGGATTTCTTCATCACTTAGGACCGCTTCGATTTAGACTGCAAAACAGTTTCATGCATACAAAGTACGTGTGAGCCTCACACTCCTGTAGGACACATGAGGCAATCACCAGTCTAGCTCTCTTTTTTCGACCTCACTCCAGATCTTTTGTTTGACTGCTTGCACATTCTTGAATACGTATTTAAAAATACAGACTGTTTTGCAGTCTAACTTTGATTTATCCCAGTAAAATGTCCATATATTTTATTTGATAGTGCAGCAAACAGCCATATTATGAGAACCCAGCCTGTATTTCTCAGCGAATTTGCCTTGTTGATGCAGCTAATGAAAGCATTGAAAACGTGCATTTCATAGACAAGTGAAAATTAAAATTCTTTTTTAACTGTTGACTGGCAGTGTCTGTGAAATGCCATGTTGTATGTCTAAAATAGTCATTTCCTTCATAGATTCATCAAGAAATCAGTGTTTGCACAGTCTTAAAAACTACTTAAAATTAAGATTAATGTCCTTGAATTTAGTGATCCTTAAAAATACCTTGACTTTCTTAAAGGTCCTTGCATTTTTTCCCAGACTAGGATGTGGTAACATAATGTTAAGGTGATAAGCACAACTCTTTTCTAACTTATGTCCGTTAGCCTTTTTCCACTGTTTGCACAGAATGCTCAGGTGCTACTTTACAAGCAAAGTGACTAGTCGCTGTATTTAGATGAACAATTTCCATATTTCTTAATGTGTGACATGCAGTGCGTGCTGTTCATGTAATAATATCAAGCATGAGATGCAGTGTTTCATCACCAGATCAAATGGTGAGAAGGGTCCGAGTTAAAATACATTGTGCAACAGAGTACTTTGGTGATGAAACACCGTGTCGAATGCCTGATGTCACTTTTCGAACGGAATGATTTAAGAAGGAGAAATTAAGGATGCAAAAATGAGCAGTTTTTCATCTGATTTTCAAACACTCATTAAACATAATTTGCTATTGTATTTTCTTTATGAATCATTAATGAGTTTGAGAACTTCACAGACAGACTGCTTAACCCATCAGGCTAGTTTTCACTAGCGACAGAGTTAAAGCGGGAGTCATAATCAGAAGCGTAGAGCTTATGATCTAGTGAAAACAGCGTTCTGATTCCGCTTACGACTCCATCGCTTACATTCCACTTATGATCTAGTGAAAACCAGATTGTCGGAGTTGGAAGCAGAAGCAGAAGAACCAAACCAATCACAGAGCATGGGAACTTGCATTGTCATTAGTTTATCCTTCCATTTCTGCTTCCGACTCCGACAATGTGGTTTTCACTAGATCATAAGCAGAATGTGAGCGACAGAGTCGTAAGCGGAGTNGCTGTATTTAGATGAACAATTTCCATATTTCTTAATGTGTGACATGCAGTGCGTGCTGTTCATGTAATAATATCAAGCATGAGATGCAGTGTTTCATCACCAGATCAAATGGTGAGAAGGGTCCGAGTTAAAATACATTGTGCAACAGAGTACTTTGGTGATGAAACACCGTGTCGAATGCCTGATGTCACTTTTCGAACGGAATGATTTAAGAAGGAGAAATTAAGGATGCAAAAATGAGCAGTTTTTCATCTGATTTTCAAACACTCATTAAACATAAATTGCTATTGTATTTTCTTTATGAATCATTAATGAGTTTGAGAACTTCACAGACAGACTGCTTAACCCATCAGGCTAGTTTTCACTAGTGACAGAGCTAAAGCGGGAGTCATAATCAGAAGCGTAGAGCTTATGATCTAGTGAAAACAGCGTTCTGATTCCGCTTACGACTCCATCGCTTACATTCCACTTATGATCTAGTGAAAACCAGATTGTCGGAGTTGGAAGCAGAAGCAGAAGAACCAAACCAATCACAGAGCATGGGAACTTGCATTGTCATTAGTTTATCCTTCCATTTCTGCTTCCGACTCCGACAATGTGGTTTTCACTAGATCATAAGCAGAATGTGAGCGACAGAGTCGTAAGCGGAGTTGGAAGAAATGGAAACCTTCTGATTCTTCTTACTGCGATTCTGTCGCGCTTATGACTCCGCTTATGACTCTGTTTTTTATTTTCACTAGGTCATAAGCGCTCTTACGACTCCGCTTACGACTCCGACTCTGACTCCGTCGCTGGTGAACACCTATACCAGCCTTTCAGTCCCATGAGTGGACAACATCAATTTTCTCCTTACAATTATCCATACATCATCGAGAGAAAAGGTTAGAAGAATTCATAAAATAATCATCAAAGGGAAAAGGCTTTGATCTTTCATCAAAATCTCTCAATTAACTCTTGATTAAAAATGGAGATCAGTCTGGTGAATTTGAAGGTGGATATTGGTGCTCTAGGATATTACCTAGTGTAGGGGTGGGAGGAGGGGAAAGTTTGTTGATTTGTCTACCAAAGATATTTTACCCTCCCTCCCCCCTGTTATGTAAAACCCCTCCTTTGACTTCACTTACGCTTTTTTCTAATCCATGGAGAGACTGTCTAATCCTTCTACTCCTGCAAGGCTTCCCAAAAACGAAAGTTTCGGTTTTTACCACCTGTCGCGTGGAACCGAAGGCAAATCTTGTCAGCGGAAAGCTCGCGAGATTATGCGCAATGGTTTCCTCTTTCACATCCGGTGGAGGCGATAGAAGCTTGCACAATTTTTTTTAAAAGTGTTTTCGTGTCATCTGGACCTGTATATCGACTTCATGATGAGTTGTTTATCGTGGGGACCAATGCAGGAATCTGGCATGCAACAGTTTTGCGTGGAAATGATGAAACGGCTCGACGTTCAACGAAGGAACGAGCAGTTCTGTGATGTGGTTCTTGAAGTTGGCTCTGGTGACGATCTAGCTCGCTTTAAAGCACACAGAATCGTTTTATGTGCAGGAAGTCCGTTCTTCTACAATGCTCTTAACAGCGACATGAAAGAAAAGAAAGAGGGAGTCATCAGATTAGAAAACACAAGCAAAGCTGTGATGGAAGAATTGTTAGAATATCTTTACACAGGACACGTTGACGTCACGCAACGCAACGCACTCGATCTTCTAGAGATAGCTGATTTTTTCGTCATTCCAAGTCTGAAAGCGGCTTCAAATAAGTTTATCGCACGAACATTGTCTTCTTCGAACTGTCTAATGGCATATTATTCAGCTGCCAAATATAATTGCACGGAATTACAAATAGAAGCGAGAGATTTTATCTGTGAAAACTTTATGAGCGTGGTCGAGCAGGAAGATTTTCTGAATTTAAGCATGGAAGAGGTGAAAGAGTGGATTTCAAGTGATGAAATCAGGGTAAGAGGAGAAGAAGACGTTTTCCAGGTTATTGTAAAATGGTTAGAAGGGAAAGGATGCGTCGAACGTAACACATTTTTCGAATTATTTCGTCGTGTTCGTCTGGTTCACATGTCACGCAATTCTGTTTTCAAGGAAATTTTACCGCATCCTTTGGTGAGGGACGATAAAACATGCACAGCATTTGTCTTAGATGCAATGGAAAATGTTTCATCTGGCTCTGAGGAGTGCTTTTTTGCCCAATCACCAAGAAACTGCCTGAAGACAGCAGAAGATTGTCTTGTCATCACTAGAAAAAATAAAACATTCTGTTACCTTCCCACAGAAAACAAGTGGTATGAGTTGGAAGACCAATCTGAGAATATATATTTTTATACTATGAGTGCTTGTCATGGTAAACTCTACATCAATAATGGTGAGCATCGACAAATTGAGAGATACGATCCAGCTGTTAATTCTTGGGCACCTGTTACTTTATATGGTGATGGTTCAATGCCACTTCGTGGGGTAGCTCTTGTTAATTTCCAAGGGTTTTTGTATGTGATTGGTGGAAAAATAGGAAATGAGCATGCAAACTGTGTTCATAGGTACAACCCTGACACAAACCTGTGGCAGGAGGTAGCACCCATGAGCATTTCCAGATCTGAACTTTCTGCTGTAGCTGACAAAGACACAATGTATGCAGTTGGAGGTCGAACAGAACATCAGTTACTAGATGTGGTAGAAAGATTTGACCCCAAAACAAAGTCGTGGTGTAGAGTTGCTTCAATTTTGGAAAAGAAATACCGCCTTCATGGAGTTGTGTTAAGGGGTAAAGTGTTTTTATTTGGAGGCTTGATGAGTCTCAGTTCATCAGGTCCATTTTCGAGCATCATTGAAATGTATGATCCAATGTCAAACATGTGGACAGCCATTCAGAGTACATCTGCCCCAAAGCGCTGTTTTAATGCCACAAGTTTCAAAGGAGATGTTTTTGTCACTGGTTTGTGGGACCAAGAAAGTTCCCATGGTTATTTCTTAAGGGTTTATGATGTTGACAAGAATGAGTGGAAGCCTTGTGCAAAGTTTCCTTACGTCTTTCATCCAGGTGCTATGGCCACTGTCAGAATTCCAAAAGGAATTTTGAAGACTTGTAAAGTTTTGGAATAGGCACAAGTTGTTTTTTGGCCCTCATGAGCTGAAGAGTGAAATCCTATAGTGTTATTAATCATATTATGGGTACTTTGATGTAGACCCCACACATTTTCTATTCAGTGCATTAAAGGGCTAATTTTTCTGACCATTCCAAGGCAAATTTACATTTTTGTAAAATGTTAATGGAGGTGCAGGTTTAGTTTTTGGATAAATCACCTGTAGGAGTTGCATATTAGAATCCTGCTTATTATGAGAAATGTTTTAATCGTTACAGCCACTTTGAATTTTTCTGGGCAAAAGAAGTCACTGATACATTTTTAAGTAAGAAAATTCTTTTAATATGGTCGCATTGAGAATTTATAACCTGTATTACATGTAATTTTCTCTTCAAATTGATCTTGTCAACAATTGGCCATTTTTTGGTCATCCAGACCCTGAGATAACGGTGGGGCACGGCCTCAAAAAAATTTTTTTTCAGCCCTTCGGGCCTCGTTTTGGTCTAAAAATAAGGGGGGACCCCGGGCCCCTCCCCTAGATCCGCCACTGAACATGCACGGCATTTGTCTTAGATGCAATGAAAGATGTTTCATCTGGCTCTGAAGAGTGCTATTTTGCCCAACCACCAAGAAACTGCTTGAAATCAGCAGAAGATTGTCTTGTTTTTACTGAAGAAACTCGCACAATCTGTTACCTTCCCACAGAAAACAGGTGGTATAAACTGACAGATCAGCCTGAGAATTTGTATTTGCACTCTATGTGTGCTTCATACCTCCTCTCTATTTCAATGCATGTGCTATGGCTCCTCTCAGAATTCCAAGAGGAATTTTAAACACTTGTAAAGTTTTGTCTTAAAAGGAAGTTGTATTAGAAGGGTCACCCTCAGATTTCTTCTTCTTTTAGGACCACTTTAGAAAAGTACAGTATCTTTATTAAATCTCCACTACGTGGCTCTTCCAATTTAATTTACAAAATAGAACAAAGAAAGAAGAAGGAGAAAAAGACTAATTTACAAATCTAATAATTTTCGTTAATAACAAATGGATAAATAGGAATAAAATTAAATTAAGAAATAGCTACGATAATGTATCGTATATACTATATACATATACGTATACTTATTATTGACTTAAAAATGCTCTAAGTATGACATATTTATGACTGTTTTAGTCATGCAATCAGTCACCTAGTTCTCGCTGTGACATAGCTCCAGTTTTGCACCGCACTTAAAGCTAGTGAGCGTTTTACTATTTCTTGTGCTTGCGCTTAGCGAGTTCCAAGTGTTGATAGACCTATAGTAAAAGGAACGTTGTGCAGTGGCTGTCCTGCACATAGGAACGTCTAGATTTTCCCTGAATCTGGTATTATAACTATGGATTCCTGTTCTTTTGTTGATGTAGCTATTTAGACAGGAGGGCGCAAGTCCATTCACTATTTTGTACAACTGTGTGACATCGCATACTAACAGTAGATGTTTAATAGAGGACCAACCCAGTTCCTGCAGGACTGGTGAGATATGGTTGAACTTCCTAGTATTAGTTAAAACTCGAGCAGCAAAATTTTGTACAAGTTGCAGTTTATGAATGTTCTGCTTAAAAGTGCCAGACCATACAGTAGAACAATAAAAGAGCTTTTTAATACTAAAAACCAAGCAATTCAAAATGATGAAGAGTACTGATTTGGAAAAAAGATGCCTAACTTTGCTTATCTGACACAGAGTAGAGATAAGGGACAAAGTCAATGTATTTACATGTTCATTAAATGTAAGGTTCGAGTCTAGTATGATACCCAGGTCTTTGACTAAGGGTACGGGAGCTAGGATTTTGCCAAGAAAAAGAACTCTGACATCCGGAATTTTACTTAATAGCTGTCGCGTTCCAAACAAAATAAGTTTGGTTTTACTAGGATTGATGAGTAGCTTATCAGTACAGCAACAGGCGGCGATGAGACGAAGATCTTCGACGACTTTAGTCAGGCAGGAGTCAATATCCTTGGATGAGAACGAAAGGTAAACCGTGGTATCATCAACATGTGACTCGACACTTGAAAATTTGACAACGGAGGGTAGGTCATTCATGTAAAGACTGAACAGGAGCGGCCCTAAAATGGACCCCTGAGGTACGCCATGTGTAACGATTAGCTCCTCAGAGTGGGATGTTCCTAGTCGTGTTGACTGCATACGGTCGGTAAGGTAGCTCTGAAACCACTTCGACGCTTTACTTGACGCACCCAGCCCTTTCAACTTAAGAAGGAGTGTCCTGTGACATATGCTATCAAATGCCTTGCTTAGATCGATCAGGACCATAGCCGTTATCTCCTTCTTGTCCATTGCTTTGAAAATGTGACCGGTAACAAGCAAACTCAGGGTTTCGGTAGAGTGGTATTTGCGATTTCCACTCTGGTGGACCTGGTGGCATGTGAGGTTGCCTTGTTGATTTAGAAAGTCATTAAATTGATTCAAAGCAATCTTCTCGGTCAATTTGGAAAGTACGGGAAGTAACGAAATCGGACGGTTGTTATTAGGAATCTGGTGATCTCCATCCTTTAGGAGGGAAAGCGGAGTTGGCAAACGAAAGGTTTACTACCGTGGTTAAGGTTGGTAGTACGTAAGGCAAGCAGTCCTTGATCACAAATAAGGGAATTCTGTCATATCCTGGGGCTTTATTCGAAGACATAGCCATAATCACCTTTCGCACGTCATCGCTAGTTACTGCCTTAAATTCAAACAGCTCTTCAGAGGTCTGTGATGGACAAAGATTAAAAGGGATGGAAAGGTCTGATAAGCTGGGCGACTGGGCAAGCTCTGCAGAGTTACGAGCTGCCTTCTTTCCCACAGATGTAAAAAAGTGATTGAATTCATTAGCAAGTGTATCTGTGTCTTTGGTGAAGCCCCGCGCGACCTGTCTTGTTTGGAAGAGCGCTGCGAATGGTTTTCCAAATTGCCCCGCAGTGATTTAGACTGCAAAACAGTCTCACGCGTACTAACACCTTTGAGCCTCACATTCCTGTAGGACACGTGAGGCAATCCCCAGTCTAGCTCTCTTTTTTCAGCCTCACTCCAGATCTTTTGTTTGACTGCTTGCACATACTTGAATACGCATTTTGCAGTCTAACTTTGATTTATCTCAGTAAAATGTCCATATATTTTATTTGATAGTGCAGCAAACAGCCATATAATGAGATCCCAGCTTGTACTCTTCTGCAGATTTGCCTTGCTGATATAGCAAATGAAAGCAGCATTGAAAATGTGCATTTCAAAGACAAGTGCAAAATGAAAAATATTCTTTTTCTAACTGTTGACTGGCAGTGTCTGTGAAATGCCATGTTGTAATAGTACGTCTAAAAATAATATTTTTCTCCAGAGATAAAGTTTGCACAGTCTCAAAAAGTCCTTGAATTTCAGAGAAAGTGGTTAAAATTAATGTCCTTGAATTTAATAATCCTTAAAATACCTTGACTTTCTTCAAGTTGCTTGCATTTTATCCCACAAAAATAAAATAAAGTCAAGGTGATTCCCTGGTTTTGCACTGCGCATCTCTTACTGCGCATAACAAGATGGCCGCCGTAAAAAAGAGCATGTGAAATAACATTATTAAAATGAAGTTGACTGAAGAGAAACGCTATTGGAATTTTTGCTTCCGGTTGTTTCTTGCCGAGGTGAGACTCAATGTGTTGGGAATGTGCATAACGTAAGCAGTACGCGTGTTGCTGAGTTCGACTTCCTCACGAAGAACCTCGATAGTGGATGTTTAACTTGTGCTTACTCACTTTGATTTTCATTTAAACGCCTTCTTTATCACATTGTGTCCTAAATGTGATATCTCGATGTAAATTCTATAAAAACAGATTTTTTAACAGATTCGTCACCCTTTCACAAACATTCTATTTTGAAACTCGCCCCATTCCTCTCTCAAAAATCGGAGAAAATGCATTTGGTGCGCATTTTCTGCAGCTCTACCGCAAAAACGAGTACGGTGACCCCTATTTTTTATTTCATGATTTTAATAAGGACAGTGCTTCCTTTCGATGAGAAAAAAATTGGCACAAATCCATGTTCAGTTTTTTGGCAATTTTACTAAATTGTACGGATTGAGCTATCACGGGTCGAATAGCGCGTGTCCAATTCAGTTCTACTTTGGAGCGTAAAGTAAAAACAGGAGCATTAAAAGGCATCTTTCTGGTATGTAAGTGGATGAACAATACAATAAAGTCAAATTCTGTGCGATACCAAATGCATCATCGAAAAAATCTCTCCTTTTTGTCTAGTTTTGGGCTGCCCGCGGTTTTTGTCAAAGGGTCCAAAATAGCCGTATTTGTCAGCATTGTGACGTCAAAACGAGCACGGTGACCCCCAGTTTTTATTACTTTTTTATCATCTTCTTTACTTGTTACATCAGTGTACCAAGCTTCATCTACAATCTATGTTAAGTTCTTTTACTAAGGAATCACCTTAAAATAAAGCTAAGGTGATAAGTCTTCCTGTTTTTCTAAATTATGTCCGTTAGTATGTCCCCCAATCTAATGCCCAAAATGCATAGGTGGCACTCTGCGAGCAGAGTGACTTCTCGCTGTATTTAGATGAATTGTGAAAAACCTCCATTTTTTCCCAATAGTGATGCCCTGCGACGGTAAATTCCGACAAGCGGCATGACCCAAAAAGTAGCGACAGAGCGTAAAATAAAATCGCGACAGTGACGGCAAAGCCTAGAATAAGCGACAAAGAACGGTGGTTTGTCTAATTTAACGCGTCGCGTTACACTT